ATGTCAAGCCGGACACTAAAATCCTGCGTGAAGGATAATGAAGGTAATAATAGCATTAACAATAATGATCATGGTGATAATACATGCATGGTTACTCAAATGGCAATTATTATCATTGTTGTCATTACCATTACGAACAGATACAAAAATTCCTGGATCCGGATCACCGCCAAAATTTAATGGCATCTAAGTTGGGCTGTTTACCTTCTCGTAAAAAAATAAATAAATCAGAAAACTAACAAACTAATCAACGCTGCTAAATCATTATCTCCTTGGCGAAGGTAATATTGATAATAATAATAGGGATGATATCAATGCTGCTGCTAATAATAACATTAACAATAATGATGTTAATAAAAATTATATTGATAATAAAACATGGATATATATTCAAGTAGTAATAACAACAATAATAATGGTAATTATCATTAGTATTATTCTCATTATTACTATATTAATTATGGTTACGTTGATAATAACAATAATATATAATAATTACAATAACAATAATAGAGACTACATTAATACTGCTACTAATAATAACAACACAATTTGACAGTAGATAAGCAAATGAGTAAACAAATATATATGGAAAATAACATATTGCAACCAAGGTACATATAAGACAGGTAGCTCATCTTTAGCCTAATGAACCAAAAGTAATTAAAACTGTTTATGGCAAGGAACATATTATAAATAAATTCTTTTTTTTACTTCTGATAATTGTAACAATCTCGAATAAATAATGCAAATAATTATGGATCTAGCTATATCTATCTCGTGGCATCTCCTGATTGGCTAAACGAAAGGACATCATTAGCTCTGCACCTTTAAGTCCCAGGCAGTCTGTGCAATTTCCCAGAAGGTTTCTTTGAAAATGCTTCACTACTAACACTGGAAAGCAAACCAAGAAAAAAAGAGATAAAAAAATAAATAAAAAGCCCTGCTAATATTTGACATTAATGAAAGTGAGACGGTGTAGATTTGCAAGGCAGTTGCCAACTAGGATTTTCAATGAGGCAGAGTAGCACCACCTGTATGATAATACCTTGATTATATTGATATAATTAACTGAAAAGTAAACAGTCTAAACACAGGCCTAGTATTGTCAGTAGCCAACAAAGGACTGGCTTACTAATCAACGCAGTTTTAAAAATCCATTAAAAAAAACACTTCAATAAGCTGTCGGACCCTGCATATGAAAAGGAATCCGTAACACCTCCACAGCCGACTACTGCACGACGTACTAATTAAGGCCACATTGTAAATATATATAGAACATTGTAAATATATATTGAGCATAGACCAACTTATTAATGATGCCATGGCAACATTAACCAACATACAAATTGCACAACCATTCTGAGGAAACGCCGGATGGGTGGCTGTGGTTACGATATTGTGTCATTTTGAGTATCCAGTTTCACTTGCAAGATCGTGATAGTAAATATATAAAGAAAATGTAGAGTGGAGCAAGGTATGTTATCTTCACTGTGCTCAAAATCAACAGTTCTTAGAAAAAGATTTAAATTGGCGTTTTCCATGTAGATTTAAATTTGGCAATTGCATGATGATTATGATTACGGAAAATTATTGAAGGAGGTGGATGTGCCCCTTTTCATTCACTTTGTTTTCGCTTTTCCTTATTCTGTCAGATCAGAAATAAGGAGGTGACACTGGGTGCAAACCTAGACTAGGCTGGCGTGCGTGGGCTGCCTTGTCTGTTGGGCTATTCCTTCTTTGAGACCTATAAGGAGAAAAAGAGCGGCAGCTTATAGTCTTGAAACCTGTGCTGTTCCTGAGTACCTTTTCGGAAAACAACCTTGCATGCAGCTGCCTTCATCATCACTGTCACCGTCGCTGTGTGTGTATGTCTATATATATATATATGTGTGTGTGTGTGTGTGTGTGTGTGTGTGGTGTGTGTGTGTGTGTGTGTGTGTGTGTGTGTGTGTGTGTGTGTGTGTGTGTGTGTGTGTGTGTGTGCATCAGCATCAGCAGCATCAACGCCATTATCATCAAATATTATTAATTAAAGAGGTATTTTGATTAAGATTTATATAATTAATGAATTCATGGAATAGTCTGACTCCTTATTACATTTACTAATTTGCATAAAACCAATAAGCAGTTTCTTATGGCTGGTGATGTTAGTGTAAACTTGGAAATCACTGTGAAGACAACAGCCATATCTCACTTGGAGTTCCATGTCAAACGTTTAGTAAAAATGCTGAAATTCACATCACAGGTTTGTGTCTTGAATGGCAATACTGTGGGTCATTGTAAAATAAGTTCATTTGCACGGATGAAGTTTAAAGTCGTGTTCTGTTCCATAGAAGATATAAGAAATGTGTAGTCGGGGGGGGGGGGGGCAGTATGCGTTTGCGTCCACATTTCTCTAAATATGTTGTACGAAATATAACATAGATGGGTAATGAGCGCAGTATACAGTATATGACTTGATACTTCTTAATTGCAGAATGTAGAATAGAAGGCTATG